TATTTTTATATACATCAGTTTATTGTATTTTTATATACATTTAAGAGTTATGTTGTATCCTTGCATACACACAGATTTGACAGCATGTTTTTAAACAGTTTGTTTCTTTATATTGCACTTGTTTTAAATTGCTTTATATTGAAATGAGTTCAGTCATATTTAGTTGAGTATTCAAAGTTGAGTATCCAGAGTTGAGTATCTAGAGTCGAATATCATATCTTTGAGTCGAATATCATATCCTTGAGTTGAGTATCTAATCTCGGAGTTGAGTATCTTATCCTTGAGTACTTCTGAGTTGAGTAAGTTTGAGTAGTTTTGAGTACCCTTGAGTATTCCTTGAGTTGAGTAAGTTTGAGAAGAGGTAAGTATGTTTCATTTCTATCAAGTTTCAAGCTTATGTTTATGTTTTAGAATTCCTCTTACATGCTCGTACATTCCACGTACTGAGCCATTTGTCCTGCATCTTTTCATGATGCAGACACATGTATTCAGGATCATCAACAGGAGCTTCGTTGATACATCCGAGAGTTCGAGTTAGCTATGGTGAGCCTCCTTGCTTTCGGAGGATTTCATTTACCTTTCAGTTATATCAGTTGTTAGGACGTCGTGGGTCTTGTCCCGACTTCCATCTTTATCAGTTAGAGGCTTCATAGATAGTCAGTATAGTTGAGAAGTCTGTATCATTTATTTTATTAAATGTTTTAAAGACTAAAGTTGCCTTTTTAAGGCGAGTTGTATATATTTTATTATACAGAGTTTTCTTTGGACTTAAAGTTTGTATTTAAGTTTTACAAACTTTTATTTCAGTTTTTAAGCTTTGTATGCTTGAATCAGTTTTCCGCTTGTAGTCAGCCAGGATGAGGGTTCGCTTGGGGACCAGCAATGGTCTTCGAGTGCCGGCCACGTCCAGGGTGTAGGCTCGGGTCGTGACATAAATTATATAAGATATTATTGTTATCAGGATAGTTTTTACTAGTAGTTATAATATTTTGACTTTCTATAACAACTTGTTTGTTCTACGTACAAAGATAAATATCATTCTTGATATTAGTATGTACGAATGTTAATGTCCTTTTGATCACAATATAAATAACTAAAATGAACAAATATCATATGTACAGGTTTATGATTTTATGATTGTGTTATTCATTTGGAAAATTCAGCGGCAGACCTACATAAGTAAAGAGAATCAAGCAAGTCAAATTCAATGACTTTTTTTTTCCAAGTATCTCTCCCCACCACCCCCTCTTTTGTTTATTGGGATATTAGAATAGATAAAATATTATTGTTATTTATGACAGTCATAATTTTACAAGTACTTATAATATTTTGGCCTCCTATGACAACTTGTGTGCTCTACAAAGCGTGAAACCAACCTTGTTGATTTTTAATATGTATTAATGTGTATCTCCTTTTAATCAAGCTTTAACTAACTAAAAATAAATGAAATGTCATATGTACATACTATGAGATTTATGAGTTTTATGTTCATAATATTCTTCTGAAAAATTCAGCGTCAGACATATATATTACAAAAAAAGAAACAAGCAAGTTAAATTCAATGACATTTTTTTAGTATCTTCATCCTCTTTTGTTTTATTTAGCTATTAAATCAGATAAGATATTATGGTTATCAGGATAGTTTTTACTAGTACTTATAATATTTTGACTTTCTATAACAACTTGTGTGTTCTACGTACAAAGATAAATATCATTCTTGATATTAGTATGTATGAATGTTAATGTCCTTTTGATCACACTTTAAATAACTAAAATGAAACAAATATCATATGTACAGGTTTATGATTTTTATGATTGTGTTATTCATTTGGAAAATTCAGCGGCAGACCTACATAAGTAAGGAGAATCAAGCAAGTCAAATTCAATGACTTTTTTTTTTTCAAGTATCTCTCCCAACCACCCCCTCTTTTGTTTATTGGGCTATTAGAATAGATAAAATATTATTGTTATTTATGACAGTCATAATTTTACAAGTACTTATAATATTTTGGCCTCCTATGACAACTTGTGTGCTCTACAAAGCGTGAAACCAACCTTGTTGATTTTTAATATGTATTAATGTGTATCTCCTTTTAATCAAGCTTTAACTAACTAAAAATAAATGAAATGTCATATGTACATACTATGAGATTTATGAGTTTATGTTCATGATATTCTTCTGAAAAATTCAGTGTCAGACATATATATTACAAGAAAAGAAACAAGCAAGTTAAATTCAATGACATTTTTTTAGTATCTTCATCCTCTTTTGTTTTATTTAGCTATTAAATTAGAGAAGATATTATTGTTATCAGGATAGTTTTTACTAGTACTTATAATATTTCGACTTTCTATAACAACTTGTGTGTTCTACGTACAAAGATAAATATCATTCTTGATATTAGTATGTACGAATGTTAATGTCCTTTTGACCACACTTTAAATAACTAAAATGAAACAAATATCATATGTACAGGCTTATGATTTTTATGATTGTGTTATTCATTTGGAAAATTCAGCGGCAGACCTACATAAGTAAGGAGAATCAACCAAGTCAAATTCAATGACTTTTTATTTTCAAGTATCTCTCCCCACCACCCCCTCTTTTGTTTATTGGGATATTAGAATAGATAAAATATTATTGTTATTTATGACAGTCATAATTTTACAAGTACTTATAATATTTTGGCCTCCTATGACAACTTGTGTGCTCTACAAAGCGTGAAACCAACCTTGTTGATTTTTAATATGTATTAATGTGTATCTCCTTTTAATCAAGCTTTAACTAACTAAAAATAAATGAAATGTCATATGTACATACAATGAGATTTATGAGTTTTATTTTCATGATATTCTTCTAAAAAATTCAGTGTCAAACATATATATTACAAGAAAAGAAACAAGCAAGTTAAATTCAATGACATTTTTTTAGTATCTTCATCCTCTTTTGTTTTATTTGGCTATTAAATTAGATAAGATATTATTGTTATCAAGATAGTTTTTACTAGTACTTATAATATTTCGACTTTCTATAACAACTTGTTTGTTCTACGTACAAAGATAAATATCATTCTTGATATTAGTATGTACGAATGTTAATGTCCTTTTGATCACACTATAAATAACTAAAATGAACAAATATCATATGTACAGGTTTATGATTTTATGATTGTGTTATTCATTTGGAAAATTCAGCGGCAGACCTACATAAGTAAGGAGAATCAACCAAGTCAAATTCAATGACTTTTTATTTTCAAGTATCTCTCCCCACCACCCCCTCTTTTGTTTATTGGGATATTAGAATAGATAAAATATTATTGTTATTTATGACAGTCATAATTTTACAAGTACTTATAATATTTTGGACACCTATAACAACTTGTGTGCTCTACAAAGCGTGAAACTAACCTTGTTGATTTTTAATATGTATTAATGTGTATCTCCTTTTAATCAAGCTTTAACTAACTAAAAATAAATGAAACGTCATATGTACATACTATGAGATTTATGTGTTTTATGTTCATGATATTCTTCTGAAAAATTCAGTGTTAGACATATATATTACAAGAAAAGAAACAAGCAAGTTAAATTCAATGACATTTTTTTAGTATCTTCATCCTCATTTGTTTTATTTAGCTATTAAATTAGATAAGATATTATTGTTATCAAGATAGTTTTTACTAGTACTTATAATATTTCGACTTTCTATAACAACTTGTGTGTTCTACGTACAAAGATAAATATCATTGTTGATATTAGTATGTACGAATGTTAATGTCCTTTTGATCACACTTTAAATAACTAAAATGAAACAAATATCATATGTACAGGTTTATGGGAAATATTGAAACCGTCCTTTCCAGTAGTATCGCTGTTGTCTTTTTTGCAGCTTTTGTTGTTGCTGGAACATGATTTTTATGATTGTGTTATTCATTTGGAAAATTCAGCGGCAGACCTACATAAGTAAGGAGAATCAAGCAAGTCAAATTCAATGACTTTTTATTTTCAAGTATCTCTCCCCACCACCCCCTCTTTTGTTTATTGGGATATTAGAATAGATAAAATATTATTGTTATTTATGACAGTCATAATTTTACAAGTACTTATAATATTTTGGCCTCCTATGACAACTTGCGTGATCTACAAAGCGTGAAACTAACCTTGTTGATTTTTAATATGTATTAATGTGTATCTCCTTTTAATCAAACTTTAACTAACTAAAAATAAATGACATGTCATATGTACATACTATGAGATTTATGAGTTTTATGTTCATGATATTCTTCTGAAAAATTCAGTGTCAGTCATATATATTTCAAGAAAAGAAACAAGCAAGTTAAATTCAATGACATTTTTTAGGTATCTTCATCCTCTTTTGTTTTATTTAGCTATAAATTAGATAAGATATTATTGTTATCAAGATAGTTTTTACTAGTACTTATAATATTTCGACTTTCTATAACAACTTGTGTGTTCTACGTACAAAGATAAATATCATTGTTGATATTAGTATGTACAAATGCTAATGTCCTTTTGATCACACTTTAAATAACTAAAATGAAACAAATATCTTATGTACGTATTATTTTGAGGTTTATGATCGATTTTCATGATCATATCATTCTTCTGGAAAATTCAGTAGCAGACCTATATACTACAAGAAAGGAATCAAGAAAGTCAAATTCAATGACTTCTTTACTAGTATCTACACCGTTTTTATTTTATTTTATTCATCTATTAAAGTAGTATAATAATAATATTATTATTATTATTATTATTATTATTATTATTATTATTATTATTATAAGATCGGCCCCTAAAATAACATATACTCATGTACAAATATAAATTGTTAAAATACTCCACCTCATTATTTTTTTCTACTATAAATTGAGGTTCTTGAGATTCTTTTATTACACAATTCTCATTCCATCACCTTTCACTCGTCTCTCTTCTTTCTCTTCCAACACACTTCATTTATCCTAAAAAAAAGTATCTTCATGGAGATTGATTCAACAAATCAAGAAAATCTTAATGTTTTCACCATGTGGTGGAACAAGCTTAAGGATTTTCCAAGAAAATTTCAAATAAAAATTGGAAAAATTGCTAAGAACACAAAGCAAATTGGCAAAGATGATCCAAGAAAAATTTGGCATGCCTTTAAAGTGGGATTAGCTCTCACTTTAGTTTCTTTATTCTATTACACTGAACCACTATTTCATAACTTTGATCAACCAGTAATGTGGGCTGTCCTTACTGTGGTGGTTACTTTTGAATTTACAGCGGGTAATTCTTTTCTTTTTTTCATATAATAATTTTCCAATTTTTTACACCTAAAGAAATAGAAATTATCGATGGACGGTTTCTATTGTTAAACAATACAAAAACTCATCGTTCATCCTATTTAACTATGGATGTGATAAAAAAATTTATTAGATGTCAGCTATTTAGCGATGAAATTCACAGCTAATTCCTAAATAACAAAAAAAAAAAATCTAATCCTATCAAAAGACGTATCAGCGATGAATTATCAAAAATCATGTTAGATACGAATTATCTAGATTTTTGATGTTTTATTTATTTATTTATTCAGGTGCAACCATATCAAAGAGCATAAATAGAGGAATTGGCACAGCACTAGCTGGTGCATTTGGTCTTGGAGCTAAATACTTAGCTGAATTAATTGGGAGAGAAGGGCCAAATCCTATAATTCTTGGGGTTTTGGTCTTTATTGTAGGTATGAAAATATAAAGCATATTATATAATAAAATAATAGCAAAAAAAAATGTCAAACTGAATGAAGTCTACTATGTAAACATATTTGACTAATCAACAAATAAGTTTCAGCAAAAAAAAAATTATTGAAATTTATGGTCCTAACAAATATACTATACAAAAATACTTTTGAAACTGATGGTCATTTTTCAGACTGTCTTTAAAAAATACTCATAGATATGGAGTTTCAACTTTCAAGATTGAAACTCTAAGACAATAACTATTTTTCTATTGGGCTAAAATGTGGTTGTTGGTAAATTTTTGCTCTGTACGTATGTCATAACATTTGCATAGTTATAAATATTTTCGTTAAAAGTAAAATAAAAAATTCAAGAAAAATGTCATTTTTATTGGATAAACTAGAAATTTTAAAAAATAGAATTATATAAATTGAAACGAATTAAGAAGTACAAATTTAACCTCATTTCTAATGATATGTGCAGGTGCTTTAGGTACATTTACAAGATTTTACCCTCATATTAAGAGGAGGTATGACTATGGAACCATGATATTTGTCTTGACCTTTTGTTTGGTTGCGGTCTCCGGTTATCGATCAGAAAATATTTTTCAATTGGCTCATCGACGGATATCCACTATTTTTATTGGTGTCTTCACTGTCATGATCATCTCCATGATTATTCGTCCAGTGTGGGCCGGAGAAGATCTTCATAAGCTTGCTAGTACCAATCTTGAAAAGCTAGCAAGCTATCTAGAAGGTACGTTTTAATATATATGACTTTATTTTATTTTTTAATTTAGAAACGATTTAACTTTCAACTTCTTATTTACCTAACCTTTCAAAATGTGACCCCTATGTCATACTCCCTATGGTTCACATTAAATGATTTTCTAACCTTTTAAATTTTGTCTTATCTAGTTAAGCAATATTCCCTCTTATTAATTAACATTATTAAATAATTTCTTAATAGGAGTGTCAAAATGTAAAAAGAAAAATACTTTAAATGAACCTGATGAATTATATAAGATCGTAATTTTTTTTAAAATAACTTTTTTTTCTAAACTCTATATATAATCAAACACATTCACATAAGCTGAAACATACTGAATAATATCTAACCTTACGTCACATGATCAACTTAGGACTTTATGTACAGCAACAAGTTGAAAAAATTAAATATTTTTTTTTTGTTGTTTTTACAGGATTTGGAAGTGAATATTTTCACATTTCTGAGAATAAAAGTGTTGAAGGTAACAACAATAATGAAAAGGGATTTCACGAAGCTTTTTTAAGTATTCTTGGTTCCAAGGCAACTGAGGAATCTTTGGTAAGTAAATCACATTACAATTCTCATAATTTTAAAGAAAAAAAAAGTATAATTTTTCATCACTAGTCAAAACTTTTTTTTTCATTTTTTTTATAACATCCAAAAGAGGTTACTATTATTTGAGTATTTATTATTTGTCTGATTATGACAAGACATTTTCTTTAACTTTTTTAAATCACCTTTGTAACATGCATGAGTGTTACTTTCTAACGACTTTCAGAATTTAAGTTTTATTCACTAACGATATAAAAGAAATTCATATTATGGATAAATTTAGTTAACAACTTTGATTGATAACTTAAACTCGATAGTCAGCAACATAATATAATAAATTAAATTATACTGATAATATATAGTTTATTCGATGTTTCAGGCAAACTTAGCATGGTGGGAACCCCCTCATGGAGCTTTCAAGTTTAATCATCCATGGAAACAATACTTGAAGATTGGTAGTCTTGTTAGAAAATGTGCTTGCCATCTTCTAGCTCTTAGTAGCCATATAAACTCAAAATCTCAGGTACATATATAAAACACTCTTTTTATTAATCCCTATTTTTTTTTTGTCACCTTGTGACATACATTTAGGGGGGGGGGGGGGGGAGGGGGGTATTTGTACGAATTACTAGAAACAGTTAAAAAATACCGCGTCTCATGACATTTATTTAAGAGGATAACCTACTTGCACAATAATGTACCGCGATATGATTTTATAATTTGTACATAGTAAAAACCCGAATAATTACTAAAAGAGTATGAGACTTAAAAATTTGAACAACTTAATACAATTACATATATTTTGAATGGTCAAACATTTTGTAACACCAAAAGCCAAAAAAATCAATAATGTTACATAAATAAATTGAAACAAATTATAATATGATATCTTTTAAGTTTATTCAGAGACTAAAACTTATGTTCAAACATTTTAGTAAATGATAGTATAAAAATTATATATTTGTACTGATAATATATATAACTTAAAATTTATTATATATATAGTCAAATTAACATATTATTAATGGTTAATTTTGTAGGCACCAAATGAATTTGAGAGGAGGACAGAAGAAGCATGCAAAAAAATGATTATGGAATCTAAAAATGCATTAAAAGAACTTGCATTGTCCATTAAAACTATGGCACAACCAATTTCTTCGATACGTAACACAAAAAATGTCATTGATGACCTAAAACTCACACTAGGCACCTCAAAAACCCTTTTTCGATACGATGAATCGCGCGTCATGGACTTTGTTCCCACCGCGTCCGTCGTGTCATTACTCATCTCCGTCACTAAATGTGTCGACGAGATCTCTGAGGCTATCGAGGAGCTTTCGAGCAAAGCACGGTTTGAGAAGAAGAGTACGTCGCCACCTCCACCATCCCGGTCGCATTGGCCACATATATTGCACCGTGGGACCGTGAATCCTATTGTGGAGGATGAGGTGGATGGTGGTAATTTTGTCAAGATCGAGATAGGTGACAATGTAGAATCAAAGGGGAAAGTTGTAGTAGAGGAAGTGAATCCTATTGTGGAGGATGACGTGGATGGTGGTGATTTTGTTACGATCGAGATAGGTGACAATGTAAAATCAAAGGGGAAAGTTGTAGTAGAGGAGGTGAATCCTATTGTGGAGGATGATGTGGATGGTGGTGATTTTGTTACGATCGAGATAAGTGACAATGTAGAATCAAAGGGGAAAGTGGTAGTAGAGGAGGTGAATCAAGTGAGTAATCAAATAAATGCAACAAAAGAGGAATCTTTTGTTATTTGGATACGTGGAAGCACCGCAATGGCAATAGTGGAAGAGATGAAAACGCCAAAAAATATAAGAGATTTTATGGACTTAGTTGATATAAAGCTTTGTAATAGCACACAATTTTTCGAATCAACTGAAGGAGTACTAACAATCCTAGAGGGGATGAATCAAGTGAGTAATCCACTAGCTGTGACAGAAGGAGAACCTGTTGTTATTGGAATACGTGGAAACACGACAACAACAAAAGTGGAAGAGATGGAAATGACTAAGAAGAAAGTAGAACTAACAGACTTAGTAGATATAAAGTTTGATAATAGTATTCAATTTCTCGAATCTATATTGATGACCGTAACAACAGCAGTGGAGGAGATGAAAACGACGGAGAAAAAGGAGACTTTGTAAATTTAGTCGATACAAAGCTTTATGATAGTATTTAATTTTTTTAATTAACTGAGATAGAAAATTGTAAATAATTGCAAATGAAAGTGTAAGGAGTGAAATTTGTTCGAGTATTTCCCTTTCAATATTATTTTGTATGCGTAATACAAGTTAGTTTTTGCTCTACAAAGTGAAATTATCCTCATTGCTCTTAAAAAAAAAATAGTCTACTAGTACTTGTAATTAATATTTTAATTTGAGCTTGATATATTAGACGCAGTGGCGGAGCCAGGAATTTCATGGACGATATAAAAAAAATGAAAAAAATAAAAAATAAAAATTGTTGTTACCGGCTCTTTCAAGGCATGTAAACTCACTGGGCTACAACACCTTGTTCTGTCAAGGGTGTCCAGAATATGTTGATGAATAAAATTACAAAGCTAAGGGGCTTAAGCTCGACCCATTGTTCCAAATTGCAGCCAATAGTTACTTCACAAAAACTAAGATTCTGATAAAAACTATATAATTTTTGCACAAACTTACAAGTCTAGCGTGATAGATAAAATTAGCTATAGCATCTCAATAGTCAACTGGATCAATTCTATACAAAATAATTCTTCCTGTACTTATGCCTAGGGACTCCATATGTATGAGATTAAGTTTGTAAGGTCCGATAACTGCTATCGATGGGAGGTGAGCATGTGCAAAAATAAACTTTATTTTTGATTTATTTAACAAGCACTAGGGAGCCAAGGGGTTTTCGAAGATTGAATTGAGATCTTGTATTAGGGACTATATGTAAGCACTATGAGTTTCTTGTAATCTCGTTTAGATTGACAAATGCATATTTTGATAAGTTGGTGATTATATTTATCGAAAATATACTTGTATATACGTCTCTACGTTAATTTCATATATTTAATTTACAAAGAACCATGATCAACATGAAAAAAAATATTTGACACATTAGATAGACAAGAAGATATATCATAATTTTACACATCCTATTTACTTTTCTTGCAGGTTTAACTGCATCACTAGCTACAAAAATCATCAAAACAAAACCTGAAACACTAGGGCAGGGGTAGAGCTAGGGAGAACGAAGGGGTACATCGAAACCTCATTGCAAAAAATTACACTATATATAAGATCAAAAATACTTTTTACGTGAAGATCCTGGTTACGACACTAATACCAGGTAAGGATTGGAGTTATGAGTATCCAAGTTACATCACACCTATACAGGTCAAATAAGGTATATAACCACCTCACGAACTCGTTCCCTGTGAGACAATATTGTGCAAATGCCAGACTGCCATCAACCATCCCTCCGAGATTTGGCAAAAATCATATTTTATCAAATATTATTATAACAATTGAAGAAAGTAATCAATTATTTATATTAGTATAGTGGGACAAGCCAAAGGAGCCACATCAAAGTGGTTGCGATAGAGTAATAAGTAACTTTATCTTTAACTAAAGGTCTTGAGTAGTGGAGTCGCTAGAATTTTTAGTAGAACGATAATAATATATCCAGTGTAATCCTACAAGTGAGGTTTGGAGAAGGTAGGATGTACGCAGACCTAACCCTTATATTTGTGAAATAGAAAGACAGTTTTAATTTCAACCAGAATTTTCACTAAAGGAGTCAAACCGGTAAAGAAGTAAATACATGAAAAATAATCAAAGGGAATTCAAATATATATAATATTAACTATTTTTAGCGAAGGGAGTTAATTGACAACCCTTGAACAATGATGACTCCACCATTGATTCGGATTTGATCTCTAGATATGCCCTCAAAATGAAACTTTCTGATGCAATTTCGAATTTATTGACCCTAAAACAAATGTCGAATACCAAGTGAAAATGAAGAAAAATGCCGAAGGACCAAATTTTGAATACAAACATAAAGAAAAAATAAAAATGGATAAAAGTCATGGACACAAGTGTTGGTACTTTGGACAGTAACATATTATTTATTTTATCACATTTTTAAAAATTTTATATCATTTGAAAAAATTATGAAAATTTCTATTTATAAATTTTTGGGTACATAAATTTACACGATGTATTGATTAAATATCTCATTTTACGTGATGAATCAAGACATTGAGTGGTGTACCGAAATCAAGACACCGTGTATCAGGAGTTGAGAGATGTATCAAAAACTGAGACACAATGTATCAAAACGTTTTGGGATGTATCTGGATTCCATCAAATTTAAGAAATTTTTGTAATAAAAAAAAATAGAGATAAAATGTAGAGCAACTTACAAAAATAACTATATTTATAGGGTTAATGAATACCAATAGCTCTAAGTATGTTATTTACAATAAATGACTACAATTTATATCACTTTTTTGTTGTATTTTTGTATACATTTTTATTTTTATTTATTTATACATTATATTGCACTTGTCTTAAATTGTTTTATATTGAAATAAGTTCAGTTATGTTGAGTTGAGAAGAGCCAAGGTAAGTGTTTCTTTCAGATTCTTTTTCAAGCCTATGTTGTCTTAGCATTCCAACTCGCATACTCGTACATTTAATGTACTGATGTCAGTTGGCCTGCATCGTCTTATGATGTAGACACAGGTAACTAGGATTGACATTTCAGCGCACCGTTGATCCAGTGAGCAGTTCAGAGTCAGTCGGTGAACCTCCTTATATTCCGGAGGATCTATTTTCATTGCTTTCTAGTTTAGTCCATTAGGATGTTGTGGGGTTTGTCCCAACATCCATCTCAATTGTTTTAGAGGCTTCATAGATAGACAGTTAGTTAGTATTTTAGTTGTCTTTACTTTTCATTTCTTATGTTAAAGACTTGAGTTTGCCTAAATGGCCAGTTGAATGTTCTTTTATGACATTCTAGTTTCTTCATAATTGTTTATGTGATGAGTTAAGTCTTCCGCTGAGTTAAGTAAGTCAGGCCAAGGGTTCGCTTGGGGCCAGCAATGGTCTTCGAGTGCTAGTCCCACCCAGGGTGTAGGCTCGGGGCGTGACAAACTTGGTATCAGAGCCCAGAGTTCAAGAGTCCTAGGGAGTCTATGAAGCCGTGTCTGTAGATGTCACGCCCCGAGCCTTCACCCTGGACGTGGCCAGCACTCGAACACCATTGCTGGCCCTAAGCGAACCCTTGGCCTGACTTACTTAACTCAGCGGAAGACTTAACTCAACAACATAAACTTAAGTGATAGTTTAAATGATAACATCTTAGCCAAAATGGCAACTTATGTCTCAAAATAAAGTATCTGCAAATACATAGGTGAGAGACTCAAAAGTAACTGTCTGACAGTCTATGAAGCCTCTATAATACTGAGATGGATGTTGGGACAGACCCCACAACATCCTAATAAAGAAAACTAGGAAAGCGAAATAAAAGAGTCATCTGGAATGCAAGGAGGCTCACCACTGACTCTGGAGTGCTCAACTGGATCAACGACGCGCTGGATGCTAATCCTGGTTACCTGCTTCTGCATCATAATAAGATGCAGGCCAACTAGCATCAGTACATTGAATGTACGAGTATGCGAGTTGGAATGCTAAATCACAACTTAAACTTGAAAGGAGTACAAAGGAACACTTACTTTGGCTCTGTTTAACTCATGAATAACTGAACTTAATATGATCCGTTAAACTTGAAAGGAGTACAAAGACACATGCAATATATATAAAGCTTGTAAAACAGTGTAAACAACTTAGTTAATTAAAGATAAAGCAATAACAAACTCAACTTTACTTATATATAGAAGTAATATAACTTTAGTGGGAAATTCTATAATCGACAACCACCACATGAGCCCTAGTGATGATACAACGTTTTACCTCACGTTGCCCAAGGACCATCCTATACCTTGCCTTGATATAGGACCTTACTTAACTTAGTAGATCCACTAGCTTAACTTACGTGATCATCTAAAACGTATGATCCGTTAAATCTCATGTTGGCCACATGGTTCTTATGGAGATTTGAGTTAATATGAACTCGCATCCCCAATTCGGTGCTCAATACTACTCCAAAAATATACTTTAGCTCATATGTGTTTTAAACACCTCTTTCTTTAGTTTGAGATAATTGCTCAAAGCTTAGCCCAAAGGCTCTTTTGGAATCGATGTTCGCTTTTATTTGCTCAAATGTGAAAACATTTATAAACTTCTTTGGGAATACATAGTTCCCTAATAACTTTTGAGAAATGAACTCAACTCTTACTCTTGGCTTTACTTGAAACTTGAGTCTTAAAACGAATTTAAAACGTTTAATAAGGACTCTTGAAAACTTTAAGAAACTTTGCTTTAACTTGCTTCTTAACTTCTAGACTTGACTCTTAACTTCTTTGACTTTGATCTTAACTTTCCTTAAATTGGATTATGGATTCAAGGCTCATGATCTCATGTTTATGGATGATTTCATGATGTTTAGATGTACCTTAGAGTGTTGGAATCAACTTAGAAACATAGGTATATTGCTACGGAACAAGTACTAAAAGATGGGGGGCGAATGGGGAGAACTGGCGTCCCTGGCACTCTGAGAAGCGAGGGGCTCCAGCCCTCAAACTTCAGAGGCTGGGCTGGGGCGCGCTGGCTGGCGCGGCGCCCCAAGGGGTGGACTTCAAAGTCCCTTTTGGGGCGCGCTGGCTGGCGCGACTCCCCACCCTTTCCCCAGGTGAACCCCGACTTTTCTCCTTCGTTTTTCATCTCTAAACCCTCTAAACTTCTATGGTTCTTTCCCCAAACACTTAGGATCATTAATACCCTCAATACCCAATAGATTTAACTCAGAAAACAACCCAGAAACACCAATCAAATCCACACTAGGCATTCAACAATCAACCAACAAGAATTCAACAATGTTCTTCAAGAACTTCACTTTCTTAACATTCAAACAACTCCAAATCGCTGAATTGAAATAAGTTGGTGTGTGGGTGAACTAACCCAACATGAATTTATCTCGCATACCTTAATAGGTGTCAGCCCCGACGAATTCCACTCGCAAGCTTGGATGATCTTGGTGAATTCTTGCC